TTTTCTCTGCTGCTTGGGGCTTCAGGGCCCTCCCCCAAGTCTCAGGGCTCACTGGCGTCTTAGGCTAATCAATGAGGGCTGAGTAGAGTCAGTCTTTCTAGGTGCTCTGCAGGTTGTACTCTGGCTGCTTCTGGGACCTGGTCACTGTCTGATCATGGCAGGGGGCAGCATGAACAGTACATTTCCTCCCTGTGCCCACCATCTCCAGTTCTCCCCCTGCGCAAGTTTCAGGAGCTGAGAAATTGTCCATTGGGATCCTAAGGGTTGGAGGGAGGATTTGCACTTGAGTGGAAGACGGGAGGTTTCTGAATTCTGATTCTAGTCAGACCCTGAGTCCCAACCTCCCCTCACTGACATCTTCTTGGACTTTCCTCCTTCCCTTTTCTCCAGTCCAGCAGCTTTTACTCATTTTCAGAAGGTGTGCGTATGGGATGGCGGGCGGGTGGGTAGCACAGGGCAAGGAGATATGGTAGGAATTATGCGTCTGTTTGGTGTTCTGTTTTTCCATATCTTTTCATTTTATATTTGGACCTTGGCATGGGAAACTCAAAGCCAGGTTTTAAGTTTTTTCTGCTAATTCTATCTTTTGACAACTGTGTGTTCCTTAGCCATCTAAATTGGTGGCAAAAGGGTTAGAAATATGTCAGAAATACAGCAGGGAAAAGGAGGAGAGGTGGAAAGGACTCCTATCAATTAATACATCCAGACAACGTTCAGCTGTGGATATAGTAATGTTCTTCCACAATATCCCCTTTTTTGACATCTGAGGAATCTATCTATCCTCTGTCTATCTATCTATCTATCTATCTATCTATCTATGGGGGTGACTAGAATATATAGTGAATGTTTAAATTTTAAAAACTATCACAATAAAATCATACTGCCACTAAGCTCCCTCAAAATGCTCCCCTCACTTTGAACACACTTTGTGAAGCAGGTCTGGAAGTTCCCTTTCATGAGTGTCTTTACAAGGTGTGATAAAAAGGACAGTGCATGCTGCTGGGTGCCACCCCAAGGGAAGGTATGCTTATAAAAGCATTATGGTATGTCCTCATCTACCTTATTTACCACTGTGGCACTGTGTTACTCCTGGCTCTTGCCCGAAGTTTAAAATAACCATGAAAAGTGAATGTTTTAAATTGATTCAGGGCATCAAGCAGCCGTGATAGCACAACTAATGACCCACAAGAGAATTTCCACAACTGCTTCAGAAAGTGACAAGAGCAATGAGACAAATGTGTTTCAAGGGGCATATTTTGAGGGGGATTAATGGCAATGTGTCTTCTGCTGTAAAGCATTTTTAGATTTGAAAAATCTATTTTTCAATCACATTATATCCCCACCCCATCTCTGGTAATAAAGTTTTTATACAAATACAAGTAAACAAACGTGTCTCACCAATGGACTAACCCAAAAGGCTGTGGCTGTGGCTGGTTTTTTACGAAGTCAGATTCCTCTGAAGATGTGAGGGGAAATCACAGCAGCTCCTCATAGTATTGGGAAAATCCAGCCTCTAATGGCTCTCTGCTCCACAGAGCAAATTCTATCTCAGCCACAGGAGGGCCTCTGCTCCCCTGAACTGCTTCTCTGCTTCAGACTGAGAATTTAGAGGAAAAACTGAGGAGTAGATTCAGGAGTAGAATACATATAGACATTTCGGGTGTGAGGGTGAATGGAGTGTTTGGCTCTCATCCAATAATTCCTCAAATTGGTGATGCCTGTGGGTGGCATTTTGAAAGTATTAGCTTGACTATACTTTGGACAAAAGTCCCTGGCTTTGACAGATTAATGAATATGCAAAACATACCTAAAAAGCTCTCTCCCTCCTCCCAATTCACTCTCCCATACCACTGAGAGAGTCAGGCCTGTGTTTTAACATTGGCACAGTGTTGTCCTGCTCCCCGGTGACCAGAGTGGACCCAGCTTTCTAGAGTCAGGCCTACAACAGTGAATAAAAGGTGAACTCTCCCCAACCACTAACCCTGAGCGACAGAACCCCAGGCACTACTGCTACCATGTGTCAGTACAGGAGCACTTGTTACCCTCCCTGGGGCAGCTTCCTGTAATCCCTTAGTGTGCTCTCACTGTGACCCTACTCACTTAAAATATTAACTGTGATAATAAAGGTGAATAATTCTTGTACGTCTGGGACAAAGATGAGATTATTTATCTCTTGCACCATCCCTGAAAGGATGCTGTTCAGCTGTGGCTATAAGCTCTAAGTTTCGTAGTCCTGTAAATAAGCAACCTAGGACAGTAACACTTCAGGTTCCAAAGCTTTTGTCAGGCCCGTTTTCTGCCAGAAGTTGTTACTGCTTTCTCCAGAATAACTGGGAATGGGGCTATTTTGAGCCTAGTCAGGAGTAGGGTAGGAAATGGTAGGGTTGACTGAGTAAAGTGGGATGAACGTGGGCAGATTCTCCCCTCCGAGCCTCAGTGTGCTTGGGATGCAGAACATCTTCAGATGGTGATATCCCCAGTCTCAATCATTTCTAAAAGAGTGGCAGGGGGGTAACTGCTGAGGCTAAGAAAGAACTGTTGGGGGTGGGTGGGCCTTGAACTGAGCTTTTATATGCCTTGTACAGTCTGGCTAAGGCTGCTTCTCACCCTTGCCTGGACTGGCTTAACTCCTGTTCTTTCCACAGGGGGAATGAGCAGAACCAGCTTCCCCATTAACTTGAGGCTCGAGTTTTGTCAACTTGGATCACTCGGGACCCCAGTTCTGGGGACATCTGTGACCTATGTGCAGTAATAGCTTGGTTTTCCCGTGTTCGGCTCCCTCCCCAAGTACTTAGTGTTAAATCACAGGGGGAGGAAGTGTGAGCAGAGGAAAAACAGCACTATTACATGACCCCCGATGAGACTGCTGTGATAGAATTAAAAGCTGCCGCCCTAGGACATTCTAACAGATGACATTGTGAGGTTGCCAAGGTAACCCACCAGGATATGGTTCCAGCATCTTTGGGGTTGATGCTGGGTAGATGAGGTCAGTTAGAGGTAAGGGCCAGCTGCCCGGGATCTGTCCCCTGGCTGGCCAGCTCATGTCAGCCACATGGAAGACTGAAGCAGTTTTCTATACAACAAAGGTGATTCTAATGTTTGGTGCCTCACCGGACAGTCCAGGTAAAAGAGAATACTCGCAAAACTATAAAAGATTTGGATGCTACTGACATGTCCATTCATTCTGTTTCTATTTAATGAACATCTACTGTGGGTCAAGTAGCAAAGGTTCGAGAGTTCTAAGGTAACCTAAACTATATAAATCCAAACAGGAAAAAAAAAAAAAATCACTGAAGACACAAACCATGAATACTCAGAAAATTTGGAAGGGAAGAAAATGGAAACACTCCGAATAGCCTCAAAGACCTGTTTTTCTCTTTACAGACTCACTAAAACACAACTGTGCACAAAAATTTTGTAAGTGGAAATAATGTGCTTAAAAGAAATCAACATTTTCCTCCAACTCCAACCATTTTATGCTCCTCCCCCTTTTTTCTTTCAAATACCTCGAGGTTCAGTGCTGCTTACCACCTATAAATACATCTTTCTCCACATAGTGACCATCAAAGGATCAGAAGGATTTCACAAGGCCCCTGACTTGCAGCGACTCCAGACCTCAGGCAGGATCTCTGTCATCAGAAAAGGGTGTTTGAAACCCCTGTCAGTGCCTCTGGACCCCTGTCCTCACACTGCTCTCTGCAACTGGATTTGGGTTGTCCTCTGGTCTATTTTCTCCCAAATGTCAAGCTCAAGGGTGGGAGGAAGGGAGAAAATCATGACAGTGGTGGTAAGTGATGACAGGAAGTGGTGGGGTGGAAAGGGAAAGGGGGAAATAAAAACAAGCCAGTGAGGGCAAGGGGTGGGGACTGAACTGGGATGGCCACAGGGAAGAAAAACTCTGAGTAGCACTGGTAACAAGAAGAGTTCCTGAAAACAAAATAGTGCTTCCTTACCCCTAGGGGGTGTTATTAGTACCAGAAGGAGCTCATTAAAACATTGAGGCCTAAACCAACCCTTCGCTGCCCAGGGGCTTCAATGCCTAAGACCTCCTCTGCCCAAGCAGAAAATGGAGATAATTGACTAAATTATTTCAGCCTTCTTGTTCCAGCTCTCTTGTAACAACGGTAATAATAACGATAATAGCTAGCTACAGAGTGCTTCCTAAACACATTTAATAACGCAGGAGGAAGCGCCATGTGACAAATGAACAGGCCCAAAGTCCACACATTTACCCACATCACACAGGAGTAAGGAAAAAACCAGCGAGCTGATTCTCACCATTTGGGTTTGGGTTCCCACTGTCAGTCTCCACATGGTCATTTTGCTTTGTTTAGTCTCGAGAGGACAGTCTTTTACAATGGGTCCACGGCTTCATGTCTTCACTTTGGTAATGCAGTGCTGTTCCTGTACTTCATATTATTTTTTTTGTTGGGTGGTCTCAAGTTGCCAGGGTAGAGGATTCCCCAAGTCCCAAACCTTAGAACACCTTATGTCTGTGGAAGTCGAGGTGGCAAGGGGACAATGCTACGTTCCTCTACTTTCCAAGAAATAACCTGATCAACACCTGGAAGATGCTTGGGACGCTCCCACCTGTGGCATGGCGCCTCAGAATGGCCCTCTGTCCCGCCCTTCCCAGCACCCTGTTGGTGGTCACCTTTCCAGCATCTTGGCTCAAATATTGGGGCATCCTAGCCTCTGTGTCCTGTCCTGAGCACGCACAACCTGGGAAGACAGATGAGCTAAGGTCAGTTAGCCTCCCACCCCTAGCTCTTAAGGTCACAAGGACTGCTCTAGGGGAGGAGGTGGCGACGCAGAACTGGAAGAGAGCGCAGGGCCGGGAGGTGGTACGTGGGGCGGGGGTACGCTGGGCGGGGCCACGGCTCCCACTGCGGCTGTCAGGGCCGCTCGGCTTCCCCTGAAGATGCAGCGCAGCATATTTTGCACATGAGTTCAGAGGAAGAGGAAGTGTGGCCAGCAGACGCGCGGCGGCGGTGGCGGGGGCGCGTCGGGGCTGCAGCCGGAGCGCGCCGGGCGCGGGTCGCATTAAGCGGGAGCGCGGCGGCCGCGGGCTCTGGGGACGGACACACACGGATCGCCCAAGGGACTGACACACGAGCACGCAACGCCAGCGTAGCTTGCTCCCACCCACTGGCGCCCACGTTCTTCTCGTGCCGCCGCCCCTGTGTAGCAAACTTTCCTCCCGGGACGCAACACGCTGTCTCAGGGAGCCCGCGTCCGCGCCGTCTGCTCCACCGGTCCCGGAAGGTAGGTGGGGGCGCGGCAGGGCTCTGGGTGTCGGGGGCACAGGCACCTCCTTTAGGTCTTACAGACTGAGTCCCCGGCGAGCAGGGCGAGCCCCGCCTGGCACCTCCCAGCAGGTTGCCCCCGGAAGGGGCTCCGGAGCTGCCATAAGAGCCCCTTGGCTCTGGGTGGGATAGGAACCAGGCTGATCCACCACACGCCAGGATATTGGCCCAACTTTTTCTTCAGAGGGAAAATCATGCGTGGCACGTTGGAGAGGCGCTCGGAGTAGTACGTTGGGGGTCGTTCCTAGATAGGACGCGGTGGGGACACTTAGGCTACAGGTGGGTCCAGGAACGCAGATACACGGTGTGCTCACCGAAGGTCAGGCGGGGACTTGCCACGGAGCCTAAGTTACAGGGTGGGGTAGCGTGGAGCAGCGCCTCACGGTGACAGCCCCAGCGTGCGCCCTGGGAGGTGAGCTTGTTCTCCTAGTGGAGCTGCTGCACGGCTGGGGCCAGACCTGTCGAGCATCAGGCACCTCTCAAGCTGGAAGCACAGAACCTTGGCATGGAGAGACCCCAGGGATGAAAGTGAGGACTTCCTCTTTTGAAAAGGGGGTTTTCTTCCCTTGCCCTAACTCGGTAAACGCAGGGAACAATAATACAGGTATGGGTCTGGGCGGAAAGGCGGAAGCTGAGTTGTTAGGCATGTGCGCCTGGTTCCGGGCCAGCCTGTGCCCTTCACCTCGGGCACCAATGTTTTTGGCGGAGAGAACCGCGTGGAGGCCAGTGTTCTGACCCTGGCTTGTTCCCTGCTGCCTGTCTCCTGTCTGTCGCTGGCATTCAGCTGCTCTGTGTGCCTGTGGGTGTTTAAACAAACAAACAAACAAACAAACAAACAAACAGTATTTCACAACAACAGCAGCAACATTCGCAGTCACCACAGTCTGGCACAAGCCTTTGTATGTGAGTGGCTGCCCTGGTTCCCAAGAGCGGCTCTAGTTGTATCTTTACAACCATTTACAGATGCTGGGCATATGGTGTTTTCTAGTCTTGCCATACTGTGTCATCTCAGGATAAGGGAGGCCTTGCCAGGAAGGAAGCCAGTGTAATGTGAGCAACCTCTGGGCCCCTGGGTAGGAACACCATGCACCTCATGTGCTCCTGGCTGCCAGAATTCTTAATTTGTACTTTGAACAGCTGAATTCCGAGGAAGTTCAAGTAACCATGCAGAGGGGTTAAGTAACAGGTAGTTTGGAGCACTTCGTTGCACGTGCGTGCACTAACATCGGTGACATCACTTCAACTTCAGACCCAGCTCTGCATCCTCTTTTGCCCTCAGTGGGTTTCTGGGCTGCCCAAGCATGTGGCCCTTCCAGCTAGGATGTCATTTTTGGCTGCAGTTGTATATCGAGTCATTAGGTCGACTTTTCTTTGTTTGGCTTTTGGCTGCTTGGACATGGGGCAAATGGAAGTGAAGTATGGTACAGTTACCTAATAGACTTGATGCAAGGATTGAAATAGAATACATTGGGAATACAGTTCAGTGAGTTCTTTTTCTCCCTCTTGAGCAGGAATTTTTGGATTACATTCAAATAGTTCCCTGGAGGTAAACAGACAGAATGTCTTTGGCCTGAGTGACTTGAGTTCCTGTAAAGCTACTTGTGTTCCTCGGATCTTCACTTGTCAGAATCGAAGCTGTGGTTCCATGGCTTAGTGAGTATGGGTGCCTTGCCAAGTGTCTAACCTGGGCTAAGGCAAGGGCACTCTGACACTTCTCCACCTCCCTTTTTAAGGCAGGAAAGTTGCAAGAGCAATACCACCCAAATCCCCATGCCCATGCTTTATAATGAACATTTTATTGTTGTTTATTACATGTCTGTCCAGTCATCCTATTTTCTATCCATCAGTCCAGCTTATGTTTATAAAATTTGAATTTATAGACATTAGCAAAGGTCACATGTAAATACTGTGTTTCAGCACACTATTAGAGTTTGATATATGTTTATGGCTTTCTTAAGGTGAAATTTTTCTACATATAGTAAACTACACAAATCTGAGAATACTCTTTGTGCAGTGTTTTGACGTAGCAATGTATGTTTAGTTCCTGTCAAGTTAGGGAACATAATCATCATCCGGGAAAGTTTCTTCATCTTTTCTGCCAGCTGGTTCCTGCTCCTGCCTTTTTAGTAACAAACACTGCTGTTTCTTACCAGTGGTTAATTTATCCTGTTTTTGAATTTCACATAGATTGAATTGTGTAGCATTGTGTAAAGTTTCTTTCACTTAGTAGTTTTTTAGATTCATGCATATTGTATGTATCAGTAACTTGGACATTTTTACTCCTGAGTTATATTCTGGAGGTATGTCTCTACCATGTAGTTTTTATGTATTTCCCTGTCAATAAGTACATGAGCTATGCCCAGTTTTTGTTTTTTTGTTGTTGTTTCTCATTTGTTATTGTGAGCAGAACTTTTATGAACATTCAAATGTATAAGTCTTCTTAGGGACATTGTTCCCATTTCTTGTGGATAAATAGCTTGGAGTGAATTGCTGGGTCACAGGGGAGAGTTGTATGTGAACCTTACAATAAATCACCAGACCTTTTTCCAGCTTAGTGATACCATTGTACACTTCCACCAGGAAAAGACAAAGTCTGAGATTGTGGGTATTTTATTATAATCCTGTTTTCCTATGCCAGAGTCAAGACCATGTTTGGGTTAGTGTTCTCCTGGGACCAGAGGAACCCAGAAATTGGAATCACCTTATATAGTCTGGCATGCATTCTTTTTGTAGGTAGAGAAGCTGTAAAAAGTCCCTGACTTTGCCAGGAGATGAGTTTAAACTTAAATTATTACAGACAATTAGATGAATATTTTATCCTTAGATATCTTTAGTGAAGGAAATTCCATTGGGGAATATACCTGTGGTTGTTAAAGACTGACTGAGTGCTTTCTATATAAAGAATAATAAGCCCAAGCCCCACAGAATTCCACTAAACTTCTGCTTAGAAAACTCCATGGGGCATTCCTGGCTTCCTGGTCTCGATGTGAACTTGGTGAAGATTCCTCTTGGCCTTCACCAGCCTGGGCTGCTAGCTGTTGAAAAGAGCTATGTTTGCTTTGTGCAGCTGGTCAGAGTTGGCTTTTTGAAGACTCATAGAACAGCTTTCCTGTGAAAGTGATTTGGCCTCTCTGCAAGAAACATAGCTTGTCAACACCCCTCTTATTATCCTGGCTGAGAAAATCAGCCTGTTTCCCTACCCCCTTACCCCGCCCCAGGCCCCCTTCCACCTTATTCCCTCTTTGTGGGAGCAGCAACAGAAACCTGGCCTTGTCTAGTTCAGGAAGCAGGAAGTGAGCCTCTGCTTGGTGGGACCGAGGATGAAATTTTTACATTTCCTCCATGTGTCCCAGTGCTGACCAAGCTTTCCAGGGATCAGATGATTGGTTGTGCAGTCCCGGGGGATTATACTATGTTTTAGGACTGTTCTACTCATTCTGGCATATGTAGTACAGTGCCCACCACAGGAAAGAATTAGCGGAATGACTTGTGGTACCCATTTGAATGACATTGCTCCCGAGATGCCAGGGTCCCTAAATGGGTTTCACTAGAGAACACATGACCCTAGACAAGCAGATGGGTTCAGAGGGCTTGGACCTAGGAAAACTTCACTGACTGTAAACTTTCATGGTTTTCAGCACCATTCTTTTTTTATTACAGATTTTACTGTTGTTATTAACAAAATAATAATTACAGCTACCAGTTACTGAGGGCTTTCTGTTTGCCAAACACTGTGAGGCCTTTCATATGCATTATCTGAATTTGATCTTTTTGAAAGGCAAGTACTGATAATTATTTATAGTTTAGCCTAGAGGAAACTGAAGCTTAGAAGGTTAATTTGCCCCAAGTTCACATTTTCGTATTTTCTGAGATTTCTTTTGGGGAGAGAGAACTGCAACATTTTGGTTTAGCAAAAGCAGAGTCTAGCTATAAACACAGAATTCAAAACATGCAAAGTCATGAGACAATAGAAATGTCAAACAAATAGAACAAAGTTAAAGGAAATTGCACACTGAAATAACTTTCTTTAGTAGAGTTTTTTCCTCTTTTTATTTTAAACTTGTGGGACCTATATAAAAGTACTACATTTGGCAGTAATTTATTATTGGTTGGTTAGGATTATATTTTTATTGAAGAAAAAAAAGACACTGCTAGCTATTTTGTGTGTTTGTGTATCAGAACTCTTCAGTACAATAGCCACATGAGTTGAAATTTCATGAATACATAAATTAAAGTGAAGTGAGAGAAATATGCATCGCCTTAGTTTCGCTGGCCATGTTGCAGGTGGTCCAGAGCCACATGTGGCTGGTGGCTGCTACGCTGGACAGCAAAGCTGTGGAGTGTTTAGTTATTGCTGGAAGCTTTGTGTGGCAGCATATTCGATAGCAGGCATTTCGTTTTTTCTCTGTAGTTAAGAATGGGCAATAGACAGTGGTGTAAAGGCTTGGGCTATTTTTCACTGACAAAGAGATAAATTTAGCCAGACATTTCTTTGGTGTTTACTTTTTAAAGGGGTGTGTGTGTGTGTTCTTTTCTCTTGTTCACGTTTGGGTTTTGACATAAATTTGAGTTTTCTTCTTCTCCAAGGCCCCCAAAGGGGCTGTCATTATTATCAGTGCATATTTCATAAAGACCGTTCTCAAAGGATCAGGATAGCAGGTGAGCCGTAGCCACGGCTTAAGCCCTGTTAATTTCTAGTTCTCTAAATAAGAATTCAGTTCAGCTTTTAAATATGCATTCGTGTGCTTTACTCCCTACCTGGCCTGAATTCAGGAAGAAAAATTGTTCTCAGCAGGCCAGCACCAAAGAGCTAGAAAATCAGGTCACATTCTATGGTGATGGCTACCTGCCAGGACCAAGATGGAAGAGACACTATTTGGGGTACTTGAAGGCTCGTTTGGGATTCTCTGGGTATGACCTGCCCCTGGGATGCAGGAAATGATGGAGATGGCTGGCGAT